CCTTTCCTTCATAGATCTATAATTTCGACTCAACAAACCGGATACGAATCGATTTATTTGCAGGCGACCGAGCTCCATCGCTGGAAGGTGGAAGAAGAGCAAAGGTTCGAAGAGGCGAGAATGGCGGAGGAAGCAGCATTAGCAATGGCAGAGAGGGAGAAGATGAAATGCCAAGCAGCAATTAAGGCAGCTGAAGCCGCTCAGAAAATCGCAGAACTCGAGGCGAGGAAAAGAGAGAACGCAGAGAGAATGGCAGACATGGAAGCAGAGGAAACGAAAAAAGCACTCTCGGGATTCGGCCATGGAGATATTGGATACAGAAAATACACAATTGAAGAAATTGAAATCGCTACGAACCACTTCTCCGATTCTTTGAAGATCGGTGAAGGCGGTTATGGTCCAGTCTTCCGTGGAAAACTCGACCATACGCCGGTGGCCATCAAGGTTCTCCGGCCGGACGCTGCTCATGGCCGGTCGCAATTTCAGCAAGAAGTTGAAGTTCTAAGCTGTATTCGACATCCGAATATGGTTTTACTTCTCGGAGCCTGTCCTGAGAACGGTTGTTTAGTTTACGAATTCATGGGGAATGGAAGCTTAGAAGACTGTCTCTTCCGAAAAGCCAACAATCCAGTTCTTTCATGGCAGTTACGATTCCGAATCGCGGCGGAGATCGCGACCGGACTGCTCTTCCTGCACCAACACAGACCAGAACCGATCGTACACCGCGATCTGAAACCAGGGAACATTTTGCTAGATCGGAACTACGTGAGCAAAATCAGCGACGTCGGACTGGCGAGGCTAGTTCCTCTATCGGTGGCAGATTCAGTGACTCAGTATCGGATGACGGCGACGGCAGGAACGTTCTGCTACATCGATCCAGAGTATCAGCTAACAGGATTGCTAGGGATTCAATCGGACATTTACTCGCTGGGCGTAATGCTTCTGCAAATAGTCACTGGCAGGCCGCCGATCGGACTGGCACACGCCGTCGAGAGGGCGATTCAGAAGGGAAAATTTGCAGAAATGCTCGATCCGGAGGTGAAGGACTGGCCATTTGAAGACGCATTGAAGTTCGCGAAGCTTTCGATGAAATGTACAGAGATGAGGAAGAGGGATCGGCCGGATCTTGGGAAGGTGGTGCTGCCGGAGCTCAATCGGTTGAGAGCGATGGCGGAGGAGAGTATGGGAATTCGGCCGTTCAACGGCAGCAGTGCATCTTCATCGCCATATACAAGCCAGACATCTTCTTCTCAGGTAACTTCAACCTTCCTGCTGCCTTTCATGGCGTTGAAATTGAATGAATTTGATTGATTCTTAATCGTAAAACAGGAACCGATGAGAATACATCAAGAACAATGTGGAGCTTGGGTTGAAAGCTCAAGCAGCCAATCAAATAGTAGCACGTCATCATAGTCAGGCTAACAACCTTATTGGCTGGATTAACAAATCTATTCTTTTCTTCTTTTTATTTAGGATAAAAATATGTATAATTTTTTCAACATATTTATCTCTCATTTTCCTAACACATTATAGTCTTCCTCCCTCACGTGCCTATATATCTACCTCCAATGCTAAATCCATACTAGGAAACAACGGTAGCGATAGAAATGATTACAACAAATCGTGTATCCCGTTTAATTTTCACCATTTTAAATGTTGAAGATAACCGTTCGTGGTAAAATGCTTCTGTTAAAGTAAGGATCTAGTGTTGATTTGACATCAACATTTGTAACATTATTAATAAATCCATCAATCTCGAGAATCGAGTCATTTAGTCAATTCATAACAATCTCTGTAAAGCAAGGGGTAAAGCTTCTACACTTTCCCCTTCGTTGCTTTTGGCTAAGCTGCGAGTTCATGAGCAAGTGAACGAATGAGTCATGTTCCTAAAAGGAGTGATCCTCTTTGTTTTATTCACTTCCCCTATCCTTTCAAAGTCCATAGGTTGGGTGCTCCCACTTGACTAAGAGTTTCGAAAGTCAGGCTCTTCTCGAGCTACTTAAAGAGCTTATGCTTACCAAGCCTAGTCTACAAAAAGAGGGCTACATCAAGCAAGCTTTCCCCCTTTCTTTGATGATTATTTTCAGGTTCGTCATTCTTTTAACTGCTCACACAACACACTCTACAACAAAAATGGAGTTGCAGAAAGGAAGAAGGACAAAACTTGTCGAAGCATGATGTATCTAAGAACGTACAACCACAGTTTTGAAAAAAAGAAACCCCAAGCAAAATTTGATCTTTTTTTATGAATAAGAGAAGAACTACTTATTATATCTCGCTTTGAACTAATCATAGAATACGAAGATTATGCATATAATTTGAACATAGTAAATTCTTTACACATAACTTTAGCACGACAAATTGCAATTAAGACCACTCTTTACATGTCATTAGTCTCACTTACATTAGGTTTGTATATGTGCCACACACATCGTGGAAGGTTACTTTGTGATGCAGGATTAGAGTATTTATTGTAGTAAAAATTCCATGAGATATATGTAAAAATGTGACGAAGATATGTCAAATTCAAGCATAAAAGTACAATCTTCCGTTCTACCATTAGTTTAAGTTGAGATATGAGTAATTCTAATTCATTTGTTCCAATGAAAAGCCGATTTTTGAAATTAGATGAACTTATTGCAAACTTGGAAAATGTCTAAATCTTTATTTGGAGGAAAGTATTTTGTTGTAATATAGTTAATACTAGGAATGAACGTTTAATTTCCATAATGAAAAGTGTTAGAATCGATTTTAAATTTATTTAGAATTAAACAAAATTAAAAGTCAAACAAACTTATCTATGAAGAAATTTCTAGCGGATCTCAAATCTACTTACTCCAATTTCTCAGATGATTAAATCTCTTCTCTAAAATCTTCTTCGTTATGACTTGAGCATGGGAGCCTCTGGAAAAAAAATTCTAAAGGAATCGAAGATCGGCCGAAGAATATCCAATATAAAACATAATATCTTTATAAATTATGTTTAAATATTATAAAATATTTTAATATATATTTAACTAGTTTGAATCACATCTAAATTTTAAATATATATTTTTTATTTAATAATATATACAAATTATAAATATTAAATATTTCAAATAATATAAATATATTTATATTTTATGTTTAATATATTAAATATTAATTCAAACCTTTCAAATAAAAAAAATAATTAAATGGATCGAGCTAGGAAAAGACTTTTTGAACCTCTTAACTATGAACCTCTGCTTATAAACTTACAAAATTAATTAATTAAATTATTTAATTAATCAAATTTCATTCTTTAATTTAAAGTCTTTATTATATCTAGAGTTGCACTATTACGCACTATAAGTCAACTTGTGTTCATTAATTGATATAATCATTATAAACAAATGGATCATTCATAAGTTATTAGTAAAAAAATTACTATTGATTCTCTAATAAACAATTTTTAAAATTTTTTTTTTTTATGATTACTAAGTCAAGTTCGAAATAACAAGAGGGTGAGGTCCCATTGTTCAAGTCTCCAAATCAAAAGTTAAGGAAACTACTTATCTACTTACCCCCGTATAAGGAGTGAATCACATATTGTGAAATTATGTTCACAACTCTCTGTTCCCGCGTCGACCTTTTATCTAATAAATGCATTCCTTCTAGAAGTCGAGGGTTTGTTGCACGTATTAGCTCTAGAATTACTACGGTTATCCGAGTAGCAAATACCATCAAACAAACTATAACTGATTTAATGAGCCATTCGCAATTTTCACGGTCTGAATTAGTTCATACTTACACATGCATGGTTTAATCTTTGAGACAAACATATGACTACTGGCAGGATCAACCAGGTAGCATTCCGACACAACGTTGCAGACCACTTGCCACCAAATTTCACCATGGTGGTTTGTGGGATCCTGCAATTCACACCAAGTATCACATTTTGCTACGTTTTTCATCGATGCGAGAGCCGAGATATCCATTGCCGAGAGTCGTTGTAAATAATACGACAAGAATGCTTTGCCCCTCGCACACCGAGACCGGGGCAAGGGGCAAACTTTTTCGTTTGAGCTCCTTAGGTCAAGTTCCTAAAATAACAAACCTATTAAATCAGTTATAAAAGTTATCCTCGCCCATGCAAATCAAAAGATAAGTCCTTATATACAAGAGTTCACAACTCACTTAGAATTAAGTCCGAGTTACACATGATTATCTTGTAAAATATTAATATTCTCCATTAACAAATTTATAAAAAGAGATTAAATATTTCATGGGATAGTCTTATACAAATTTATTATATAGGATACCATATTTATCCGCATAAATGATTTGGATTAAATAATTAGTAACGATTATATAATAGGTCGTATTAATAGTGTTACAGATAAGACACTTAACCTTATCCTATACTATAAACCCATCAGGTTACTATTTGAACATGATTTTCATGTATGCCAATCACATACTCTCCAAAATTGCATTAACAACTTTGGAATTTTTATACGATATTATATTGTAAATAAAATAATAAAAAATATTGTTAAAAGTTCAATAACTAATTACTAGACTTTTTATCATAGGCTGTGGTAGTCGTCTCACGACAACTGCTATCAATGGAGGAGAAAAGAAACAAAGAAAGAAGGTCATCGAATAGGGCGGAGCGTTTTATTTCTTATAATTGAAATAATAATATTTATTATTATTTGATAAACGACGCGTCAACACTTCTATTCTATTAATTGAAATCTAAATATCATTAAAAAAAAAAAATAATTTGCTTTATTTTTAAGGTTATATAGTTTATATTCCATTCAAATTTGGTTATTATAAATTTTAATCCATATACCTAATTTTTATTAAAATTAGTTAAATAATAATAATTTTGTGAACTAATATTTATATTTATTGAAAGTATGTGATAAAAATTGGACATTTACTTTGAAATCTAAAATATTTTAATTTATTTTTAAAAAATATAATATAGTATAGTATAGGGTTGATATAAGGGCATTTTGGTACAATAGGTGAGATTATTCGCTAAACCTCCGTTGTGGTCGGCGGCCACAAAACCCTGAAAGCGCTGCTAGGCTTCGCCCCTTCTTCTTCTTCGTTGCCATTAGGGAACGCAGCTGAAGAAGAGCCTATAACTTTTCTCTCAGTTCTTCTTCCTCTTGCACTCTCTGCGCCTCTTAAGCTTCGGGACTTCTCGGAGAGTGACTGCAAAATATGGGAATATTTGAACCTTACAGAGCAATTGGTTACATTACCAACAGCGTCCCCTTCTCTGTGCAGAGACTCGGAACCGAAACCTTCGTCACCGTTAGCGTTGGCAAAGCTTTTCAAGTTTATAATGTAAGATCACTCTCTTGGACAATACTTCTTTTCCTTGCGAAATTTCCATTATTGTGACTTTTTCTCCTCGTTAATTGCTTAATCCGTTTAAGTTTCCGATCTTACTGTTATTGTTTTTTGTTTTTTGTTTTTTTTTTCCTGAATTTTCACTCTGGAGCTTAATCGTTGTTATGTTCTCTTTTTTCTTTTTTCAGTGCGCGAAGTTAAACTTGGTGCTCGTTGGTGAGTGAATTTTTCTTTTCTTTTAACGTTTGATTTAGTTTCAGTTTTTTGTTGTCTTTAGAAAGTTTCTCATGTGGAGTGTTTCTAAAGTTTCTGTTTTGGTTTCATCCTTGTGTTTTGTGATTTTACTTATTGGTGTTGATGCTTGATTCTTAGGCCCTCAATTGCCGAAGAAGATTCGAGCTCTTGCTTCCTACCGTGAGTACACGTTTGCTGCTTATGGGTCTGACATTGCAGTTTTCAAGCGTGCTCATCAGGTTTGCTCATTGGGAATATTTGTCTTTTTTTATTTATTTATTTATTTTTATTTTATAAAGTAAATGTTCCTGGGAAAAGATGAGTGACTGCCAAGCTCAATTCATCATTTTCTGGTTCTATTTAGAATGTTTGTTGACTTATTATTTTGGGCTTCTATTCTTGTCCATATTTAATGCTTTCGGTAAACATATGCATGCTGGGAGTCTTGGTTCTATTTTTCTGGATGAACTTGCTTTATTTCCTTAATTCTTGGGGTTTAATGAAGGCTTTTTGTATAAATTTTCTTGCTGGCCTGCAAGTGTTCTGCTTTGATTATAAGGAAAAGAGTGGCTACAGGCTTTCTTAAGATGGAAAATTAGAGTTGGAAGGATTACTTTATGTAGTCTGGTGTTTGCTAACTTTCCACTTATTTGTCTCTTCTCGTTTTACTGAGGAACGTACGGCTGAGAATGGAGAAAAGTACGAGAAATGTCTTTTGGTAAGGCAGTGATGACTATGACATGAAGATCTCTCATTTAGTTGGATGGAGCGTTGGGTTTAATACTTTGGAGTGCAGGGGTTCGGGTGATGGAAATCTAATGAAAAATATTAGGTCTTCTGAATAAATGCCTTTGAAGACTCTCAAATGAACCAAATGAATTGCAGTGTAAGGTGGTGGTTAGAGTGTAATGAGAGAAATGCTAAATATAAATCTTTCAAGTATTTTTCAGTTGTCAGTACCGTGGGGCTTTCTGATTTGTGATGCCGTTAGAAGAAACCTGAGGGATGAGGAAGTGGTTGATTATTGTAGTATTCTGAAATTGTTAAAAAAAGTACCAATCTCTAGATAGAAAGAACAGAGATGCTGGAGTTTGGCTAGTTCAAATTTTTTAGTGAGCTTGCCTTGCTATTTCCCTTTTAAATTCTTTTGCGACAGCTTTGAGGAAGACAATTTGCCCTTATAAGGTGAATATTTTATGGAGAGTTTAAACACCTTGGATAAGATTCAAAGAAAATGTTCAGGGTGGTCCCTGAATCCAAGTTTCTACTTAATTTAGCTGGCATTTTGGATGTATTTGTTCTTGGCTTGAAAGGAACGTTCAAATCTACACTGAGAATGAACAACGCTTTGACCGGCTTGTAGAATCTATTACTTTTTTGGCTTACATGGCATAAATTGTCTCCATCATTTTGTAACTATAGCTTATCATCTCTTAGAGCCCATTGGAAATTTTTTTGTAATCTTCATTGGACAGGGATCTTACCCTTGTTTTTCTTTTAAAATTTTTAATTTTTATAATTTCAATCTCATTTAATTGCTAACTATTAAGTTTCAAAGCTGTGGAGGCTGCTCATTACTTGTTCAGTCTCAAAGCTGGGGAGGATGTTCTTCACTTGTTCCTCCACTGTTCCTCATAGCAGGAATTTTTGGGAAGCTCTTTTTCTGAAGTTTGGATGCAAAGGGCTTTACGATTTTAGTGTTAAAGAACAATTTCTGTTGTCTACTTTGTGATCATGGTTTAAGAGGGAAACAAGAGTTTTGTGGAGTGTATTGTCAAGTCTGTGATTTGGGGCATCTGGTTTGAAAGAAACCTGTGGCTTTTCAAGAATAAGAAAGTTCGTGGGGTTTAATATGATTAAACTAATATGCTGCTTCTTGAGTTCTCCTTCCAAATACTTGCGCAATTACTCGTGTCATGGAATTTATTATTGTTGGGAAGCTTCCTATGAAAAAATGTTAAGATCCTATTAGATTGTCGGGAGCTTTCTTGTAATAATTTTTTAGATTGAGTTTAGGATTTGATGCTATTTTTCTACTTCGGGAACTTTTTAGACGTTCTCCTATTTAATGTTTAAAATATCTATCATAAGTGGGCTTCGTTATTAAAAAAATCCAGTTATGTTAAAGAAAATATCTATATATTTTCAAAAAAAAATTCATAGTTCTATGCCAAATAGAAGGAGATGCTCCTGAGCTTTTCCATGCTAATAACTTCCAGATTTTTTCTTGTAGTATCGAATTTTACTTACTTTAGTTATATACCTCACCTTTATCATATCGATTTTCAAAGTTCCGTATTATGTACTTGTTTAATTTGTTCAGTGTCATTTGGTATAAAAGCTACTGCTGTCGTGATAGCCAAGCAAATATTTTTTTTCCTGTTTTTTCATATGTGCCATGGAGATGTTTTTAGACATGGACATATGCTTGTCATTGATTTTCTTATGCATATTTGATGATTTCTTTGCAGGTAGCAAATTGGAGTAGCCATAATGCCAAGGTCAACTTGTTGCTATTGTTTGGAGATCACATCCTAAGTGTTGACATTAATGGAAATATGTTCATGTGGCATTTCAAACGGAATGAAGATAGTCCTTCTCCAGTTGGACAAGTCACACTAGAAGGACAATTTAGTCCTAGCTGTATAATGCATCCAGACACATATCTAAACAAAGTAATTACTTTCTTACATCCCGCATGATATTTCCTGGCAATAATTCTTAGACAATTCATTGCTTAGCAGATTCAAAACTTTAGGAACTTGTTTGATAAAATTGTGAGTTATACAGTTTAATGAGATTCACTGTACTCATCAAATAAAAGAAGAATCTTGAACAATGAAGTTTGATAGCAGATCATATTTTCTATTGTTTTCAGTCAGAGTTCTTGTAGCGGGAAGGCTAAATAAATGTGGTAAAAGTAGCGCAGTACTCTTTATTACATTGAAAGGAACCTCAGCGATATCTGTTTGAACAGGTTATGCTTGGAAGTCTGGAGGGTTCTTTGGAGCTTTGGAACATCAGCTCAAAGAAAAAACTCTACGAGTTCAAGGGATGGAATTCATCCGTATGCTGTTGTGTTTCGTCTCCTGCTCTAGATGTTGTTGCCATTGGCTGTGCTGATGGAAAGGTTCATGTTCATAACATTCGTTATGATCAAGAATTATTTTCGTTCACACACTCAACACGAGGATCTGTTACTGCCTTATCTTTCAGCTCAGGTTGGATAAATTTTGTCAATGATCCTATTCTTGTACTGTCAATGAATTTCTTTAGCTGCTGTTCCAGTCCTAAATTTGTGAATAATTTCAAGCATCTGCATGTGTCATGCAGGCTGCTTGAAAATTCTATTAAATTAATTGACCTTTAGTTAATTTATTTTGAGTTTGTTACTAGTCTGTCATACACGTCGCTTCTTCATATGACAGGATTTGTGTTCATTCATTACAGCCAATTAATTACCTTTCTACCCTACATGATCGAATTTGAATCATTAAGTGTTTGTGTTTTGATTTTCTTTTTTATATAACTCAGTAACTTGTCATTTTCTTTTTCCTAATTGATTCTTAGTGAATGAATGTTTTCTGACTTTAATTAATATTTTTTTTTTAAAAGATGGACAGCCTCTTCTAGCATCTGGAGGTTCATCAGGTGTTATTAGCATATGGAATCTTGAGAAGAGAAGACTTCAATCGGTCATTAGAGAAGCTCATGATAGCTCAATAGTTTCACTTCACTTTTTTGCTAATGAGCCAGTCCTGATGAGTTCATCAACAGATAATTCCATCAAAGTATGAGATTACTATTGCCCTCTACGGATTTCTTTTTACAATGTTACATAATTGTAGAGAGTTTATCAAAATATATGTAAAAAGAGAAAGAATGTAGGATCCTATATTGTAGAAATTATTATGATAACCACCCTAGGTTGACCTAGTGGTCAATAAGGGTCATGTTAGCAATAAATGACTTAGTAGGAATAGACATGGTGATCACTTGGATTTAATATCTCACAAGTTTACCTTGATAACCAAATATAGAAGGGTTAAGCAGTTGTCATGTGAGAATACTCTTGAGGTGAGTACAAGATGGCCCCACCACTCATGGATAAAAGCAATATTCATCTAGTGTTACTTTTTTTTTTTTTTTTAAATAATTCAAGACAGAATAATTTTATGTCTAAGGTCCCTATTTGCAATAAAGCAATATCCATCTAGTGTTACTTTTCACCAGCTTGAAAATTCTACTCTTCTGTTTGTTGCGATTTTCCTATGTATTTTATAATATTTGGAATTATCATTGCTCGTTACTTTTTTGGTAGATGTGGATTTTTGATACAACAGATGGAGATCCTCGTTTGTTACGCTTTCGCAGTGGACATAGTGCCCCTCCTCTATGCATAAGGTGAGATGTCTTTTGTGCCGTACTCATTTGCTTATGTAAAGTGATTTTTTCCCTTTGGTATAGATGGTTTGCATTTTATTATCACCTAAGATACTATTTGTTGTTCAGTCAGAATAGAATATATATTTATATTTTAACTAAGGCACTCGGGTAAATTCCTTAGGTTGAGAAAAGTGAATGCCTGTGTTCAACTGATGTATGTAATGAACATTTATTGATATTTTCTTAATAAAGTAGCAAATTTTAATTAAAAAGATTAATTTTTGTATGCCTTTGTATATTCTTTCCTTTTTTGATTCTTGTTTCTGCGTTTTATTAGTCTTACTTAGGCTTCCTGGTAAGTCCTATAATTTCTGTGATATCTCCTTGACTTTCATTCACACTGATCTATCGTAGGTTTTATGCAAATGGGAGACACATTTTATCTGCTGGTCAGGATCGTGCCTTCAGGCTTTTCTCTGTAATCCAGGTTAGTTTTAACAATTGAAAGAGGACGGATGTCTCTTTATTATTGTCTGTAAAATTTTTTGTGGATTATTTGTCTATGGATGGAAAGCATTGCCTCTTTTCAGTTTCTCGGTGCTACCTTTCATATTTCCTTCATCTGTCTTAATAAATGTCTTGGTGCCTTTTCAATGGAAAAAATCTAAGAGGAAAATAGTTAATCACGTCAATAAATAGTTTTAATCTTTTTCAAAAAATGGTCATATCAGTTGCCAAGGGAAAATTGATAAGAATAAATTTCTTTAGGTCTTTCCTTTTGAGGGACCTTTGAAGTGACAAAAGTTCGTATCTTTGCCCAATTCCAGCCTAAGGGAATGTTTGGGATCTATTTTGAAAAGAAATTTTCTACTTTTAAGAGTAGGTGAAAACGTGTTTGAATCACAGTTTCCTATACATTGTTTTCCCTTCCTTTCCTGGTTTGTTTTTCCTATGGCTCATACTTGCAACAGAAATTGTATTTCCTTCCGAAGTCATGGGGTTGTGAACATGAATTTTATTTGCAAGCAATTAACCACAGTTTTTAAAAATCATTTTGAAAAGAAAAGTAAGTCCCATTTTTGAGATATTACTTAACCTACTTGAGATGTTGGGATTTATGTAATTTCAGCGCATGCACTCTTTTTACTCTTGTCTGCATGCTAAATTTACACTGTATAGACTTCAATTCTCATCCTATCAATCCTTGTTTCTCTTCTTCTTATCTGTTTAGCATTTCGTTTTGGGTTTTAAAAGGATTTTTGTTAATATAATTTTGATACAAGAAATGACTGCCTTGTAAATGTTTACTCTCGCTATATATTCTGTTTAGGATCAGCAAAGTAGGGAGCTTTCTCAACGGCATGTGGCTAAACGTGCGAAGAAACTAAAACTTAAGGTATGATTCAAATATGAAAGTGTTTAATTTGCAGGCAATTATGTTCGTAAGCTTGGCAAATAACATCAATTGAACCCATCTGGCATGTCAATTTTGTTTCATAAATAATCGGACTCAACCACACTAGATTGGCCTTTTAAAACTTTTTTTTAAAATTGTTTTTTTTGGGGGGGGGGGGGGGGG